GCTGGTGTACAAAAATATAACTAAATAAAAGAAAAAAAAAAAAAGGTCTCAGATTAATTTACTCTAATCCTGCCTATGAGGATTGCAAGTGCTGCGGCTGTGGAGGATTCCTCATGTTTTGAAATAACTCAACAACTATGCTTTCAACAATGTAAAATGTCCAGCAATTGACTGAACTGGTTAGTTTTGTCATAAATAATTATTATAATTAAAATAGTAATATTTCAGTATTTACCGAAAAGCAATATTTTGCTGCTGTCCGTGTGGATCACATCAACAAATTCTGCATCACTCCTATCCAGACGAACATTTTCAGCTGTGCCTGTGAAGTAGGGTCCAGCTGGATCTAGTCCTAAGGATTAAATGACTCGTGTTTTGAATTACAAAATATCGATTACATATAAAGAAAGACTTTAGGCACACTGAAAAATCCAAGTATATAGAAGAAAACCATACAGTATTCAAGCTGAGTTTGTAACCATCAGAATATTCAATATTTTCTGTATATATTATATATGTATAAAACACCAAGACATATAAAATATGTATATATATTGTTAAAGATATTAACTATTAGATAGATTGTTAATTTAAGCAAACATCTTTGATTTACAGAACTTCACAAGGTCACGTTTTTAATAATTTTGTCATATGTTCTTGAGTCCTCCTGTCACTTAAAACAAAATTGTCAGAATTTCAGTTTTATACTTTTTTGTTGGCTTTATTTGAAAGACACATTCATTGGACCCACACTGTCTCTATTAAGATAATTTCCTACTTTACAAAGATAAACTATTGAGGCGTGATTTAATTTCTAGGTTTTCTGGAGTTGTTATAACAAAAAAACAAGAAAAAACAGACTTACCAGTGATCCTTCTCACTTTGTTTAATCGTTCTCCAGCATAGCCGGCCACATGTGCTCCAAGACTGTGGCCAATGAGATGGACACTGTCCAGAGAGATGTTCTTGGTTTCCTGTGGTGAATCGTCCAATTTATCGTTTAGTAACCAATCCGCTTGAACTAGACGAGCTGATAAATTTTTTGTTCGGTCTTTGTTTCAGATATTTCTTGAATTTTCCATTTTTTTGTTGTTGTTGTTTAAGTGTAAAATTATTTGTGAAAAATTGTTAACTCATTATGTCTTTGCAGCATGTATGATGTTTTGTTTCAGGAACAAGAATGTCGAATAATTATGAAATACCAATCAAAATACAGTATAAATTGCATTAACTTGAATCTTTCCATGTACATAGGTTGAGTTTTCATATGTTAGACTGTTTTGAACTTCGATACAGGTTCTTTGTAAATAATACATGATCCTAATGTTTCTTTACATCTTATTTTTTTTCTGAAAGTGGCAGAATATTATGATGTTAGTATACATAAATAATAGTCTCACATAACTGGTTTTGAATGGAAATGAACGTTTGAAATTAATATTTTCGAAACTTAAAAGTAAACCACATTATACACATTAGGACTTTTTCACACTGCGAGTAACTTTCAACTTAATTCTTGCAATATAATTTCGCTGTTTTGTTGGCAAGCTGCCACTGATTTTAATTTTACGACGTAGAAGGTCTGGCATAATCTATAAACATGTTGACATTGTTACAAGTATAATTTTAATTGAAAGAGTAGCTGAGTTACGTCGCAACTTATTTTGTTGGCTGTAAGTTAATACATGTTATACATGGTGGTAATTGGTTGTTTAAATTTTTAACTATGTGTTTCTGATGTACTGTAAAGCTTAACCAAGGTTTAAATACACTCCACTCATAATTCCAGTTTTGGTGTGTTAGGAATTTTGCGCAAAGCTACACGCTAGCCGTCCCGAATTTAGCAGTGTAAGACCAGAGGGAAGGCAGCTAGTCATCACCACCCACCGCCAACTCTTGGGCTACTCTTTTACCAACGAATAGTGGGAACCGTCGCATTATAACGCCCCCATGGCTGAAAGGGCGAGCATGTTTGGTGTGACGGGGATTCGAACCCGCAGATTGCGAGTCGAGCGCCCTAACCATTCTTCACCCCTAATTTTATCCATTAGGGAAAGCTCGATCAGCGTTAATCCATACTTCACCTCTAATTCTATCCAATAGGTAAAGCTCAGCCAATGTTAAATCATTCTTCACCCCTAATTTTATCCATTAGGCAAACCTAGACCAGTGTTAAACCATACTTCACCTCTAATTCTATCCAGTAGGCAAAGCTCAGCCAATGTTAAATCATTCTTCACCCCTAATTTTATCCATTAGGCAAACCTAGACCAGTGTTAAACCATACTTCACCTCTAATTCTATCTTGCATTCAAAGCTCAGCCAGTGTTAAGCTATACTTCACCTCTAATTCTATCCAGTAGGCAAAGCTCAGCCAGTGTTAAACCATACTTCACCTCTAATTCTATCCAGTAGGCAAAGCTCAGCCAGTGTTAAGCTATACTTCACTTCTAATTCTATCCAATAGGTAAAGCTCAGCCAATGTTAAATCATTCTTCACCCCTAATTTTATCCATTAGACAAACCTAGACCAGTGTTAAACCATACTTCACCTCTAATTCTATCTTGCATTCAAAGCTCAGCCAGTGTTAAGCTATACTTCACCTCTAATTATATACAGTAGGCAAAGTTCAGCCAGTGTTAAACCATACCTTACCTACAATTATATCCAGAAGACATATGATTACGTATGCTTGATTTTTGTGCAACAGAGCTTAGGTATAGAATAACATTCTCTAGATAGTTAAGAAGAAAATAGTAATAAGCTACAAACAACTAAACTATCTGTTAGGTTTTTAACCAAATGAACTTAAAAGAAATAGGTATAACAACATAACTTTAAAATTACTTTTGTTTTTCATTTGTAAAAGCCAGCTGTTTCAAAGCTTTTTCGATGACTCTGTAATCTCTACTTAAAAAAAGGAATTCAGTTGGCCATTCTCAAATTTAACAAACCAGTCAACTACTTATTTTCAACAGTAAATAACTATTAATAAAGCTTTCATACTCTATCATCTGAAAGGTTCTTGTCCACAATCAATATTCATTCTGGTTTTCTTAGCTCTCATAAATTCGTCACATCAATTAAACCAGCTTACCAGTTGGTGGGCTTGAAGACATTTATAAAACATCACATTCCTTTACTTTTACTTGTTAGCAACTAACCAGTTATTGAATCTAAGTTTCAACTAGACAGCAACTGCCTGTTGTAGAAACCTACAAATGTCGTCCTCTATCAAAGATAACCAGTTATTGCTGTCTTGTTAGAGCAGTTTTATTATTTGTATTATTATTCTTAAACAGGTTTGATTTTATCCCTCAGTAAATATTGTTTCTAAGTCGAAACATTTAACTAACTGAGCTGTTTACAATTTCTAATATCCAGATGATTGTTTTGTATGGTTTGATCTTTTTAGTTTTACCTGTAAGCGACTAATCAACTGGGCTATCTCAGCTCCTACAAGTCTTGTATTCGCCACAGCTTGGTAGTATGGAAACCAACTTCTTTTGCTCCAGTCAACTAAGATGATATTGTAATCACCTTGTTTTAGATATTCATCCTTCATATTCTGTAGAAAGCAAAATTATAACCTATTATATAAAATCATTTTGTGTACATTTATAGCACAGAGATGGTCATGAGTAAAATAGACATCGAAATCTATATACAATTTGGGAAAAATATACTATAGTCGTCTAAACTTGTCAGTTTCCATAGAAACTGAATTGGTTTCTAATAATCATTAAAACCCAGCTCTCCTTTTCTGACACAAATAAAAATATTCTATTTTGTAACTAAACAGAATGTTGAAATAAACCATTTTAATAAACTACATTCAGTGGAAAAATAGAAAATAATTAACAATTAAGATTTATAAATGGAGATGCCCTTTTATCTTCATTAGATTTAAGAATATACATAATTTAACAATGTAATAAACAGTATCCCACACGCTGAAAAGTATAAAGTTTAATAATTGTTTTATCTCGTATATTTCATCCAAATTCTGTGGGACTTACCTTTAGCCAACTTTCAGAATTAAAACTTAACGTCATGCCATGGACAAGGATCTTTGTGTTTGCCGATGGAATGATACCTGAGTTAGAAATATTGTTTTTATCTGTTGGGTCTAATATTTCGTGGTTGTTTTTGTCTTTAGAGGTGTACAGAATGAATCGTGTGTCAATGGCATCACGATGTTGAGGAAGAACGTCGATTGGACGTTTGATAGGGTCATAAAAGTTTCCGCCATTGCTGAAACATCCGAGATCGTTGTAGCACGTTTCCTCTCCTGTATACATACATACGTATATATATATGAACAGGTGCAGTTAGCTATTTATATATACACGTACATAAACATTTTATTTGAAGGTGTTATTCGTTTACAAAATACAATATCTTTTGTCATACACATTAGGGTCAGTGATTTGTCGATCGATTTTAACTTCGTAAAATGCTTCTGGTGGTGACGGGTGGTGAATAGAATGTTTGGAGAATGTTTCAATTAACAGAAGATATATTGACGAAACTTTTAATATTATTCTTAACTTATCTAGATGAAATAATTTCTATTTGAATACTACTAAACTTATATCTTTTTGTAGTTACATAAATAGGATAAAAATTAAAACTATATAACATTTTGCTTTTGTTGTTAAGCACAAATATAATCAATAATTTGTCTGTGGTCTGCCCACCACAGCTATCAAGACCCGATTTCTGTAAGCCTACAGACGTACTCCTGTGCCACTTGGGTGAGGCACCCACCGGGGGATATAACGTTTTGTTACCTTTAATTATACATTTTTTAAATAACTTACTATTTTACATAATATGTAGACTCGTCCCTAGACAGTAGAATATATGAAGTATCTAGATGTTGACTATTAGTTAAGAAGTATTACAGCAGTATCAGCTAATAATTAACTTATTAACTCCTTGGGGAAATAGCTTAGTAACTCTTTCGAGACAAAACTCGATAGCATCCATCACTTGTATATTGAATTTAAAATTTATAAGCCGAAATCAAAATTGTTAACACCTGATTTTACTTATTGGGCAATTGATTCAACCAAACTATCTTTAGGAATGCATAAAGAACATAAACAGTTATTTAGAGGTTTATTAAGTTTAGTTAACTTTTGTCTGATTAATTCTTAAATAATATTTATTTCGACTTGAATGTGAAATTTTTGTAAGACAAGATCATAATATGTTTGACCAAAATTAGAACAGACATCTATGATGTAATGAAATTCACAACACGTCATAATATAAAGTCTTGAATGATTCACAATGTTAAAACATTATATTTACCTATAAAATTAAACAATAAAATATTCAATTGTATTTGTATAAAGTCATTACTCTATTCTTAGTTGATATTATGCTTTTATGCTATAATTTTATGAAAAGGATTTCTGGAAATTATTTTGATTTCTATTATTACGTTAATTTCGCTAAACTACGAGAGAGATTGGCGATTGTGCTAATATTTATTTCACAAAAACGTTATAAGTAATCCCGCGTTAATGAAATATCGTGCATATTGAAAGGAACATCCCAGGCATATCCTGTATATATAGCTTAATTAGTATTATTTATCATTGGCTTACGTTTTATTCTCTCTAAGATTTTACTGGATGAATATCCACTAGTAGATCCATGAGTTGAAACTATTACCAAGGAAACCAGTTGCAAGAAGAATACAGTTCCCTGCCACTCAGCAAGAAACATCCTTGAGCTCAAACTTAAGAGTAATACTGCTATCTGTGTTTAGTTACTGATCAACTGCTTAATTATGTTTGATTCCTTATATAATGTATAAAACCATTTCGTCACGAGTACCTGTTTTCGTGAATATTTGTGCCAAACGCTCCTGGTATTTTCATGCCAATTAGTTATTCCCAAGACAAACAGGATTGTTTTTAGTGTTTTTTATCATTACATCATAAACATATTAATATACCGCATTAGAACATGATAAGGTGTTCTCAAGGCGTTAACTCATTGTGCAAAAATATATGTTCCCTAATCACATTAAATTATAATGACAATACAGCAACACAAAAACATTGCTATTTCCCAGCTCGTGTTCGGAGAAAATAGTTGAAAAACCTTGAAAATCAATAACAGAATTAAATACGTCATTTTACGTTATTTCGAATTATTCAAATAGTATTCTAAGTATTATGATAAGCTTACGGTTTCAGTTGATAAGAAAAACCAGGATAAAAAAGTAAGCTTTGACTGTTCGTTTGTTTTAGAGCAAAGCCACAATGGGCTATCTGCTATATCCACAGCGGGAACTCGAATTCCGCTGTCCTACAGAGAGATGTAAAAGTAAGCATTAAACTGTGCACAATAATGAAAAAATTTCAAATTCTATACTAAAACGTTGCATCAGATGTACATGTTTACGTAAGAATGAAAAATATTTAAAATCATAGAAATACAAAATATATTACATCTATAGGAGATTGCAAACGAGAACATAAATATATCTATTATTAGGGTACACACATCAACAAAATCATGGGGACATTATAATATTACGGCCAATCACATTAGTCGTTGGTAAAAAGAGTAGCTCAAGAGTTGGAGATGGGTCGTATTAACTAGTCTAATACTGCTAAATTTGGGAGGGTAGCGTAGATAGCCATCGTGTAGCTTTGCGCGAAATTCAAACACAAACATATTCCTCATAAATTTTCTTCATATACACTAGCTAACAACAAGTCCCCCAGTGAAGCATCGGTTAGTTTAAGCATTGCAACTTTAAAATATGGGGTTCGATTTCCCACGGTGGACGTAGTAAATAACCCAATCTGCCTTTGCTTTAAACAAACGGGCATAGCAAATGACAAATGTAACAAAGATAATGTAAAGGGATATATAAATTGATCGTAAGAATTTGTATTTTGATGAGCAAATCAACAGTAAAAAAGTATTAGATTTCATATAGAAATATAGTTTTATACGTATAGTTTGTTTTTGTTTTTTGAATTTCGCGCAAAGCTGCACGAGGGCTATCTGCGCTAGCCGTCCCTAATTTAGTAGTGTAAGACAAGAGGGAAGGCAGCTAGTCATCACCACCCACCGCCAACTCTTGGGCTACTCTTTTACCAACGAATAGTGGGATTGGCCGTCACATTATAACGCCCCCCACGGCTGAAAGGGCGAGCATGTTTGGCTGGGACTGGGATTCGAACCCGCGACCCTTTGATTGCGAGTCGAGCGCCCTAACCACCTGGCCACAATCTAGAGGTTAAGTTAAACAAGTGTTTTAGGATTAACGCTGGTACGGACTTACTGAGTTTTCAGTTAACTGAAAGACAAACGACATTTTGAAGTCTATACTAGTCCTTTTTATACATTACACATGATGTATAAATACGGAAAATATAATCAAACGTGGATACTTTTTGTTTCTTTCACTATCCACGTTTTCTTCGAGCTTTTTTTATTAATTATTCAGAATTATCTGTAAAACCGTTCGTACGAAATGTGAGAAGACACTGAGGTAGAGCTACTTACACATGTCATGTTGCCAACGTTGTGATATATATGTATAAACTGTAAAAAGATCACTTGATGTCCTATTCATGCAAAAATCTAAAATATTTTGTATCTATCGGTAATTAATTTTATCAATTCACTAACTTCTGATATTACATTTCGCTTCTTGACTGAGAAAAGTATTAAAAAATCTACTTTAAAACCGATAAACCTTCAACAACATACAGAGATTCCGTCGAAACAATTATGAGTTGGAGTCCGTTGTTAAGTGTTCTCTTGTCAAAAGAATTATTCATATTTAACTTATGGTCCACTGCCATTCATAACTCTTGTAAAACGAACGATTCATACTTAACCTATGACCTGTTTCAGACCCTAAAATGACACTATTTGTTATAGACGAATGCTGTCATGAGGCGGGTGGTGTCTCTTCAGCGAATGCTATTGTCAAGGTTCTATAGGCTGATGGTGTTACTAAAGTACTTTAGGCAGATGGTCTTAATAAATATAGTCTTTCTAAAGGTGAATGGTGTTACTAGGCAGATTTTGTTAGTAATGTTTTTGCTGCTAAAGCGAATAGTGTCACTATAGACAGAGGGTTTAATAAGATGATGAGCACATTATATAGTGTCTCAACATGTGATTATGTCATTAAATTTCTAGTAACAATCAAAGTCTTGAAATTAATAAATCATCTAACAGTTCTGAATAGTTTTTAATCTCTCTCAAAATTACAGTTTCGCTTTGTTTGTAAAACGTACATTAAATCTGATATC